TTAACCTTGCCCATAACTAATACACTGTAAGAAGTAGGGCTTTCATATTTGGCATGTGTGTTCCTTGTGACAAGACCTTCCCAAGAGTACCAAACATTTTGAACGTGACCTTTGACCTACATTTGAAAGTGTAAAAAAATTACCACATTTGAGACATAAGTGTTTCACAAAGTGTGCATGCAATTAGCACATGTCTTACACATTACAGTTTTAATGTCCTACTTCAGAATTTTGTTGCAACCGGAAGCATAGTGTTTCATAAACACGTCTTGTTTTATATATTTTGGCTTACATGACAACACGATAGGCCTATAACTCACTAGACGCCGCCCCTCTACACGCCTACGTGATTGACTTACAAGATAAGACATCAGATAATTTACTTATTTCATGGATTTTACGTCCACAGGAAAATGAGTAAAGAGGGAAAAGTAGGAGGTGATTGGAGAGAAGCCATCTGATAACTGTTTGTTCTGAATATATGCATATTCTGTGAGCGATAACGAAGCTCGTGGACTTGTGACGTCACTGTTGACCTGTCGATATTCGGCTACTATACATACATAGCTATGGATCAGATAAAACTCCTCTTGATTTCAACATTTTTTTTAAACATTAAAAGTTTTTTTTCCTTCATATAATTAAATTAGTAAGATCGATTCTTGTGATACCTGTAAATAAAAGAGGTAAAATGCTAAACTAAAGGAATACTATTGTAAAAAAGTATCTGTATTGGAAAGAAATCTTTAACATTTACGCTGAAAAATACACATCATTGCAAATCATGTTATGCAGGGGAAAAAAGAATTCTTTATAGTTCTTTTTAGTTTAGCTGCACTAGCATCATGTACACGTGTGTTGGAAAGTACGGATAATTCTATACACGAAAGAGATATGGCGCTTTACAGTGACGTAGCTACTATTTTGGTTCATCTCCTTGGTCAGTATAAAAATACATGACTAATGACGACAGGTAAATGTACTTCCGGAGTCACCGTGTCTAAATATAGAACATGTACGCCCGGAAAGTGTGGTGTGTTGCCATAAAACTGGGACATGTACGAGAAAAGACGAAACAACAGATAAATTCACTGGTTGGATTACTCCTTAATATGTTGACTTTTAAAATCATATATATTTATATCTTGAAGTTACATTTAACATTGAGATGACATTCTATCATGTCTGTAACAGTATCAAGTAAAACACTATTTCATTAAACTCATCGGCTGTGTTAATCTCCACCGAAGATGTAAGGTCATGTTTTTATTAAATACTTGCCGCAATGCAACACGGGTAATTAAATTAAAGGACAAACAAACAAACAAAATTGAATTAAATTTTTTTTCAAACATTTATTTTGAAATTATATTACAAGGTCCTGAAACATACTCTCACACACATATTCTTTATCACTCATACAGATCCTCACACACGCCCACACAACCGTCCCTGTCATCATCACCATCATTATCATAAACAGTCATAGTCTTCATCACCACCACACCAATCATCATCTTCATCATCAAAACAAACAAAAAGCAATAATATCCTGATGGAAGGAGATCGAACGCGTGACCCCATGGACATAAGGCTAATTTGATAGTAATGTCTTCCCGTCTGCGCTATTAGACACTGTTGTGGAAATCACCGACATTCTAATCGTTAATTCAATATGGAAGGGGTAAGCACTTGCCATTTTTGATGCAATTTGTTTCTTTCTGTGTCAGAGCACACTTGTACCGATCTTCGAGGATAGGATTTAAGTTACATTTTAGTATGAAATGAAAGCTTAGGTACGTTTGCATATCTGAACCAGCTGTTTAGAAACTGTCGATCAAATTATTGGAACCTAATGAGCCTGTTGCGAATTACAAAGTGTAGAGTAATTATAAAAATAATTCGTTGTGTAACTAAAATCCTACAAGTTCTGACTGTAATGAAATCTACTTCAGAATCAGCTAGTTTCCATGTGTACATGTTAATCCTTTCAAGGGTGTGCTGATTCCGTCAGTACGCAGTACTCGTTTCACTTTGAATATCAAGTATAAAAATGTAAAGGTTTCCAATAAAATTTAAATCGTTTTACACTTGAAAAACGAGAAGTTGTAAAATTTTCCACACATTCTACACACACACGCACATTCCACACACACATACGCACACACCCTCACACACCACACACACACACACACACCCACCCACACACACACACACACACACACATATATATATATATATATCTCGATCTGAATCCATGACATCCGATCTGCAATAGTCAGATGTCATGGTTATGTAGTGGGTAGGCAGTCTAGAATTTCTTGGCGATTAGGTGCCATAAATCGTGAGTTCGAGGTCCGGGCACGGCACGAGTCAAAATTGTCTTCCTTTTTAAAATTGTGTTACGATGCTCAAAATTTCGACAAATTAACACAATGTATCATATACAATGATGTAATTGATCCGAAGGTTCCTGAATCGAATTATCTGTCGTAATTGTACCCGGGCTTGCATGTACAAATAACTACTGTACTGGAGAAGTGACAGGTGACACCCGTACTGCAATTCTCCTTTACCTGTGGTCAGTGTCCCCAGGTATACAAGTCCATCATTTACATAATAGCAGTTCAGGTAAGTCACAGAGATGAAGCCTATTTAAGTCACAATGATGTAGCCTACTTAAGTCACAGAGATGTAGCCTACTTAAGTCACAGAGATGTAGCCTACTTAAGTCACAGAGATGTAGCCTACTTAAGTCACAGAGGTGTAGCCAACTTAAGTCACAGAGGTGTAGCCTACTTAAGTCACAGAGATGTAGCCTACTTAAGTCACAATGATGTAGCCTATTCAAGTCACTGAGATGAAGCTTATTTAAGTCACAGAGATGTGGCCTACTTAAGTCACAGAGATGTAGCCTATTTAAGTCACAATGATGTAGCCTATTTAAGTCACTGAGATGAAGCTTATTTAAGTCACAGAGATGTGGCCTACTTAAGTCACAGAGATGTAGCCTACTTAAGTCACAGAGATGTAGCCTACTTAAGTCACAGAGATGTAGCCTATTTAAGTCACAATGATGTAGCCTATTCAAGTCACTGAGATGAAGCCTATTTAAGTCACAGAGATGTAGCCTATTTAAGTCACAGAGATGTAGCCTACTTACGTCACAGAGATGTAGCCTACTTAAGTCACAGAGATGTAGTCAACTTACGTCACAGAGATGTAGCCTATTTAAGTCACAGCAGGGACGTATAATACATGGTCACAGAGAAATGAAAATATGTTATCACGGATTTTGATATTACTGACCTGTCAGTTCGGACAGAAAATTATTATTTTTAAAAGTCAATATCATAGTTCATTGATGTTGATACTCGCTGCTATTGGTGACTATCGCAGGAATAGTTAATACGTATATATTTTCACATCTCGTCGGTTCATCAGAACAGACTTACAAATCAGGTCTTTGCCTATGTCACGTGGTATAGTTGTCAAATTACTCAAATATAGATGAATATCGTGTGATTCAGAGGGATATGTAGTGTTTGAGAGTGGACAGTTCTCACAGTCAGGTGACGTTGGCTTCGACCCTAATTTTATAAACCTGATGAGGCGACAGAGGGATATTATAACTGGTATAAACAGGGGCAAGAAACTGAACCCAGATGTCACTTCTCTGGCGTTAGCTTTTGTATTTGTTCACTCAACCGTGAAGTCGTGCAGTCCACTCCTCTTACTGCTGTTATCTAACCATGAGAGACATTTTGTCTGCCAATGAAAAGTTAGGCTAATTTTCGTAACAAAAACAATACTAATAGATTATAAGTCACGTATCACATACGCCTTTTAATGTCACCAATTTAAATAATTATGATTTCCTACATATTTTGGACAGAAAATGGTGTACCATGTTGGATGGTATTTCAGTTGTAAATAGATCAAACATGCATTTTGCTTTACAAATATCAAAAGTTAACAGAAATTATTTGTCTCAAAAGTTAGCATGAGCAATTTGAAAATCAAGCTTTCTAATACTCATGATTTATTTTGAAAAAAAAAAACTACTTGTGTAGTTTTAGAGAATAATAATATAACTGAGTTCTGCGTTTCAAAGCGATATTAGGCGGTTTCTTTCTCCTGTGCACGCACGTCCCTGGTTGAAACTATCTTGTCAAAATTGATGGGTATATGTGGACGGACCGCTCCACTATTTGAGTGCAGGAAACGGGTTAGAATTCAACAAGCAACTACCAAGTGAAACAGGTCCCAGCCTGGTCTGTCAATTTGTTTACCCTCTTTCTAACATTAAATGTATTGGTACATGGTCATAACACCTGCAACCCCGAAGATTGTACAAATGACATGCAACAAGTGAATAGCGCCTATCACTGATCAGTCACCCGAATAATGAATTAGGCTGCATAGGAGTCATCAGAGATGGTAAGATTGCAAAAAGAAACGTTACAAAATCATATGAAAAAACTACAGATTTGCATGAATGACTGCCATCTTTCTTCACTTAAAATTTGAAACCCGAAAGTGAACGCCAATTTAATCGCGTTTTTTGTTTTCTTTCGACGGGGAAATGTTCATAAAAAGCGCATTTAGCACAAACTTGTTTGATTGGCTATCCCCTATTCTTCCTCGACACTGGTTTCCATGAGATCACGTGGTTTAATTATCCTCACACGACGAAAGGACTTCCTGTCGGATTTAAGCCAAACGTTGAAAACAAACTTGATATTATTTTTTAAACTATTTGTAGTTGGTTATGTATATCCATGTTAAACATTGTTGTTCATTTAAGATGCAACAAAATGAACCAAAGGAAAAGCGTAAAATCAAAATTATCGATAACAAACGAAATAATTTGATGTCATTACCGCCATCTTGTAGGATATTAAACTCATGTACCGTACGTGTCTCCTACCTGAACTCGAGTTGATCCCCCGAAAGCAAGGAAATATGATGTGCTTATAAAGAAATGGCTCGAATTGAGCCAAATTTTCGGGGGTTGTAGAAGCTCATTGTACATAGTTTTACTTTTAAACACGGGGGATACTTAATACCATAGTGATTTTAATGAAGAATTGATCAGCAACGTCGGAAAAGAACAACACATGGAGAGGAATTACAACACGCACACCGAGGCTGCTTTGTTGATATGACGGGGTTGGAATAGTGGCCATTATAAGCTAAAACAACGTATTTTCTCTCTTAACTTTTCTTTCAAGGAGAGGAGGTAAGTCGATTTTATATATTTCAAAAATGTTACGGACATTGTCGATGTCGATGTGTTTGTGTTTAACAATGTTTACTGTGTTTTGGAAATGGGGTCATCCTCGGCTCAAGGTTATGCCGCGTGTTTTGACGGATGTTTCCTTATTTCGTGCGCAAGGCTTCGACATTACAACGATGTATATCTAATAACATAGTATGATTTGTAATAAGTTAGTAGTTGTAATGTTTTGAACAGTAAAATGAGAGCCGAGGTAACACACCTTGCAGTATCGATTGTAAACATGTAAGGAATCAACACCACGACGTGCTGAGGAACACGCGATGTTTTTACCATTTAAGGTTTGCCAGGTGTTTACGTTGTTACGGATTTACCGTCTTCAGAATTATTAGAATGATTTAACCATGGGATCTTATTGTTCTTCCTTTCTGTGGTTTATGTATTAATCGAAGAAACGATATTGTGTTATTTAAGCTAATAAAGACCAGCGAATATATGGCGGTTAGTTGTAACATTTACAACTCGTGTAAAAGTACACCCAACCTGTTCTGATTTTAGACATAGAAATGAGATAATGAAATCGCCTTAAATATCTGTCAGTAAATTTGACATTAGCGCAGAATCTTTTGAAGAAAACAGCTGAATGCATTGTTAAATCAGGTCTTCAATCATTTGTCAAAAACGGACCTTGAAAATGACCAAAATGCTAATGCATGGAATAGATCACAGAAATTTCATATGTTATTTTTGAAAATGTTAATTTTGTAACAGGATGAAATTTTCGATGTTTCAAACACGGGTGCTTGTGGACTAAATTTCAATAGCACTTAAAAATAACAATCTACACATTAGTTTAAAAAAAAAACCCACAAGTACCTGTAATTTCTAAAGGATTTCTGAATAAGCAATGCAGGTATTCATATAGTTATCTAGCTGAGTTTAACATGAGAGTATAAAATATTTCCTGGATCCTTGACACAAAACAAAATGATTCTTTTTTAAATTGAGGATGTAGAGGATAAAAACAAATGTCACAGAAACAGTATGTAAACAATATTACACAACTTATGTCATAGTCTCAAAAATCCAACTACAACCCATAGTCAGTTTACTTCCTTTTATTGATGCCAGGATAGATAGAACTCAGAAATCTGTTATTTGTTCATACAAAAGTTGTTAATATATCATAATTTATGTGTGGATGTAATATGTTAATGGCTGCAGTCTATGCTTTAGTAAGGTCTTGACTGCCTTATTGGTAGTGGCAACTGCAGGGCATAATCCAATTTTGTCAAAATTAAATTAAAACAGTTTTAGTTAATTCCTTGATTTTATTTTGATTATTTGTAATGAGAGAGTAACATGTAAAAAAATTTCCACGGAATACATCGTTTTATATATTCCAACCAGGCCAACCCCCACCACCACACACCCTATTGAGGTGTTCCCTCAGGACTCCCCCTAGCAATCCTGGCTCTTGGATAAGGCTTTTGCCATGATTGCCCATTTCCTAAATCAGTCTTTCTTTTATATACTGTATATAAAATATAAATATGTACTGGACATGTAGTTGGTAGACTGACTTTATTGCTTTAGGTTGAAATATCTGCAAGTCTGATATCAGCCAGGAGGTAAAGTTTGATGAGAAGTTAGTATTCAATGGATTTATTGGTATACTCTTTCCTTACTTACAGTTAAAATGATTGTTTTGATTTTTCAGATACTAAGGGTTACTAATGCAAGAAGACCTTCGCATTTACAACTCCAAAATAAGTGCATTTAGTAACTTCAAGAAGATTAAGCTGGAAGCAGTTCCAGATCTGCATGATGTAGTTTCCACAAGAGGACCAATACGTCCACATAGCCCTGTATTTTATTCATCAGAAATTCCACAATTTAAATCCCATCAGTCTCAGATTGAGACTGCGGTAACAAGCACAACTGCTTTTGTTTTCCCACAACACAGGGATGCATTTACAAACTTGGAAAGCCAAACCAATAATTACATTCGAGCATCAGCTATAAAGCTTCGTGATAATTATCACCAAAGATGTGGTACCAAGCGTAAATGTGACGATCTCAATGCACCCATGCAGCTCACGGAAACACAAGCTGTCTCGAGCGAGGATGACAACACCACTAACAACAATACAACAACCACGACGACGACGACCACATCAAAGACAACATCCTCTTCCAACACAGAGGGTGACTACCAGCTGGTGCAGCATGAGGTCTTGTATTCGCTCACCAGCCACAATACCTACGAGGTGTTGGAGTTTCTGGGAAGAGGGACCTTTGGTCAGGTAGTAAAGTGTTGGAAGAAGGGCACCAATGAAATTGTTGCTATTAAAATCCTGAAGAACCACCCGTCATATGCGCGCCAGGGTCAAATTGAAGTAAGCATACTTACAAGACTCAGTCATGAAAACGCAGATGAGTTCAATTTTGTGCGAGCATTTGAGTGCTTTCAACACAAGAATCATACCTGTCTGGTTTTTGAAATGCTGGAGCAGAACTTGTATGATTTTCTGAAACAGAATAAATTTCAGCCGTTGCCCCTGAAGTACATCCGTCCGATTACCCAGCAGGTTTTGACGGCCCTTCTAAAGCTGAAGAGCCTTCACCTCATCCATGCAGACCTGAAACCAGAAAATATCATGTTAGTTGACCCAGTAAGGTTTCCTTACAGAGTAAAGGTGATAGACTTTGGATCAGCAAGCCATGTTTCTAAAGCGGTGTGTTCAACGTACCTACAATCTCGCTACTACAGGTAGGCACATCATCTGTTTTAGTCCCACTGAAGTTCTTATTTATTTTGAATCTTAAAAGTGGAAATTTCAGAAATGATTTTGTTGTTATACATGTTACCATGAATTTGCTGTCACATTGTATTGACTGGTCTTTGAAGTTCAGTTTTAATTCACAATTAATGTTTGCAACATGGAGAAGGTTTTTTTCTCACTGGTTTGGGATGGAACATTTTGGCCTCATTTTGGGATGAAAATTGGTGAATGAGTGAGAAAGTTGCATTAATTTACAAATTTTGGGAATTAAATATGGAATAATTTCAGTTGGAAAATTAGGCTGAAAGAGACCAATTTTGCATATTGTTTTTCAGTGGTGAACACAACTTTTCTGCTGTAGTGTTGATATCAAATTTTAATGTTTTAGACTGGTTTGACCAGGACTGTTGTTTCTAAGATATTTCTATCATTGAGTTCACCCCTTGATATCCATACACTCTATCATTGAGTTCACCCCTTGATATCCATACACCATGTTACAATATACTGTCACTTAAATATGTGCCAGTTAAAGACCTTCTATCTGATTTTGTTTAGAATCCATGCTCAAGTTGACTTGTCATTCAGATAATTTTTCTATGGGATTGGCCAGAGGAATATCATTCAGCGAATTTGATTGAACGACTACAACATAAAAACCAGCATGTTTGGGATACTTATAATCATCTTAGTTTTTGCCATACTGAAGTTACTTTTAATGCTTACTCAATTCATCATTGATTTTTGTGAGAGATTTATCTTTGATAAATACTGATTTTTGTGGGAGATTTATCTTTGATAAATACTGATTTTTGTGGGAGATTTATCTTTGATAAATACTGATTTTTGTGGGAGATTTATCTTTGATAAATACTGATTTTTGTGAGAGACTTATCTTTGATAAATACTGACTTTTGTGGGAGACTTATCTTTGATAAATACTGACTTTTGCGAGAGATTTATCTTTGATAGATACTGATTTATTTGAAAAACCATGAAAACTGGGTCCATTGTAAATATACTATGGTTAGTGTTAGGATAACCAATGAACACTTAAGACATTTATAACTTTAGGTGTATAACCATTTGATAATGGTGACCCGAGTTTCTCATTCAATGGATACTGAATGTGATCTTGTGAGACATCTCTCTAAAGACAAGTCATTTTCAATTTTTCATGATTCACTTTTCATCATTTAGATGTTTACCTTGAAATGGCTGAAATAAACTCGGAAGATACTGAAGTTACTGCTGGCTGCATTGGTTGTGTGTATCTAAACATGACAGGAGCAGTTAGTCTGCTGAAATTACTCATTTCATTCATTAATTTTTCTTTTGTTCAGCAGTTTCTTTTTTGGCATTCGTTTTAATATAATTAGATCAAAAATTGTCTTCTTTCAGACATATTTCGGTTTTTGGTCACCAACATATGGATACCAATTTGGTTACATTTTAGCTTACAAAACAAAATTTTGAACAGAAATTTCTGATGGTCAGAGTCAAGCACAAGCTGAGACAAAGAAAATGGAATTTTCCTAATAAGTGTGTATAAAATTTGAGTTTCGGTGACATTGCAGGTCAAAAGATGTCACTTGATAATAGCCAGTTTTTCGTTAGGTTGGACACAAACTTCCTGTTGTTTTATAAGCAGTAGGAAGTCTCCGGGTTTGAACAAAGACATGTTTATTACATGATTCATGCAAGATTGAGGTATTTAAAAAGTTTACTCTATAGTGATAATACTATTCCAATAGAAGGTTAATAGATAAAGATTTATGACATTCAGTGATGCTGGGGCTAGGTCATGTGATAGGGTAACATATTTTAATCTGACATGGAGACTTCTTGTATTATCAGTAATGAGGGCCTTGACAGTGTCTTGAGTTGCCGCTGGATCTTCTTAGTCTTTGGACTAGAATATAATCCCTTGTACAACTGCTGGATAAAGTTAACATTGTAACTGGATGTTTTTGTCTTCGACTGTCCAATGAGTGATTTTAAACATTTCAGTTCTGCAGAATACATTTAAAAAGCATTTCATGTCAGCTCAAGTCAGTTTCCATCAATACTCTAAGGTTCATTTAGCATTACTAGTGAATAGAGTTTATCATACTTTTTCAATTAGCAGTTGATTTACTAAAAGTAATATTAAAAAAGGGTAAAACTTATGTTTGGATTTCATTTACAAGATCTAACCAGAAAGTTACCTGTGTAGCAAAGGTTGTGATAAAGGAAAAATTCTTATGAAGCTACGGGTGCAACCTTATTTACATACAGGTGGTGATTTTATTTAATGCCCATGGTCTTCCATTGTAGTGATTTAACACACCTGATGTCAACAAAGTATTGACCTAGAATTTACCTGTCAAAATAGTATGACATACTGGACTAGAGATTAGCCTTCATGAAAGGTACTACAGACAGTGAGAACTCCAAATATGACATACTGGGCTAGAGTTAGCCTTCATGAAAGGTACTACAGACAGTGAGAACTCCAAATATGACATACTGGGCTAGAGATTAGCCTTCATGAAAGGTGCTACAGACAGTGAGAACTCCAAATATGACATACTGGGCTAGAGTTAGCCTTCATGAAAGGTACTACAGACAGTGAGAACTCCAAATATGACATACTGGGCTAGAGTTAGCCTTCATGAAAGGTACTACAGACAGTGAGAACTCCAAATATGACATACTGGACTAGAGATTAGCCTTCATGAAAGGTGCTACAGACAGTGAGAACTCCAAATATGACATACTGGGCTAGAGTTAGCCTTCATGAAAGGTACTACAGACAGTGAGAACTCCAAATATGACATACTGGGCTAGAGTTAGGCTTCATGAAAGGTACTACAGACAGTGAGAACTCCAAATATGACATACTGGGCTAGAGTTAGCCTTCATGAAAGGTGCTACAGACAGTGAGAACTCCAAATATGACATACTGGACTAGAGTTAGCCTTCATGAAAGGTACTACAGACAGTGAGAACTCCAAATATGACATACTGGGCTAGAGTTAGCCTTCATAAAAGGTACTACAGACAGTGAGAACTCCAAATATGACATACTGGGCTAGAGTTAGCCTTCATAAAAGGTGCTACAGACAGTGAGAACTCCAAATATGACATACTGGACTAGAGTTAGCCTTCATGAAAGGTACTACAGACAGTGAGAACTCCAAATATGACATACTGGGCTAGAGTTAGCCTTCATAAAAGGTACTACAGACAGTGAGAACTCCAAATATGACATACTGGGCTAGAGTTAGCCTTCATAAAAGGTGCTACAGACAGTGAGAACTCCAAATATGACATACTGGGCTAGAGTTAGCCTTCATAAAAGGTACTACAGATAGTGAGAACTCAAAGAATGAGTTACGCCTCATGGAAGAAGTAGGAGATTGAACACAGGAAAAGAATAGATCTAATGATCTGGAATTGAATTACAAGTCTTAAGAATAATGTTGACACATAGCTTCTGCATGTTGTAGGTTCTCCAAGATACTGGCTGAAATTGGAATGTTATATTATTAAGATCTGTCCATTTCTTAGAATATTATTGATAGTTTCAGGCCAAATTCATTATACTTGATTTTTTTTTGTACATTTTCAATAACTTTGCAACAATAAACTTTCTTTCAAATTTGAGTGACTGAACCTAGGTAAACAAAATCCTGTCTAAGATATTGTAAAAAGGCAAAAATGATATATTGATTTATTCATAATAACCGTAGATTTTAGGTGTTCTGTATAGAATTTAAGCTCTTATTAAAAAAAGGGGGGTATTCTTTATGTACAGAGTTAGAAATTGGAAAACACAAAATACAAATTGAATGTTGAATTCCAGTTTAATATATATCTTGTACATAATGTTTAAATTGATCCTCTTTGCTATATCTGTATATTGTGAGGGAAAACTTAGTTACAGATGTTAAGTGTAGCTCATCTGGCATGCAATAACAGTAGTGCTAGTTTACTGTACAGAGAGTCTATTGTATTATAACCCAGGAATGTTATAACATTCCTACTGAACACCCCTGTCCTATCTGTTGTAATAGTCCCTACTGAACACCCCTGTCCTATCTGTTGTAATAGTCCCTTCTGAACACCCCTGTCCTATCTGTTGTAATAGTCCCTACTGAACACCCCTGTCCTATCTGTTGTAATAGTCCCTACTGAACACCCCTGTCCTATCTGTTGTAATAGTCCCTTCCCTACTGAACACCCCTGTCCTATCTGTTGTAAAAGTCCCTTCCCTACTGAACACCCCTGTCCTATCTGTTGTAATAGTCCCTACTGAACACCCCTGTCCTATCTGTTGTAATAGTCCCTACTGAACACCCCTGTCCTATCTGTTGTAATAGTCCCTACTGAACACCCCTGTCCTATCTGTTGTAATAGTCCCTACTGAACACCCCTGTCCTATCTGTTGTAATAGTCCCTACTGAACACCCCTGTCCTATCTGTTGTAATAGTCCCTTCCCTACTGAACACCCCTGTCCTATCTGTTGTAAAAGTCCCTTCCCTACTGAACACCCATGTCCCGTGTCCCACCCCTTATGAACACTGCTGTCCATTCTGTGATGCATGCCCCACACCTTATGAACACCTCTGTCCATTCTGTAATATGTGTCCTATCCCTTATGAACACTGCTGTCCATTCTGTGATGCGTTCCCCACCCCTTATGAACACCTCTGTCCATTATGTAATATGTGCCCTATACCTTATGAACACTGCTATCCATTCTGTGACGCATGCCCCATCCCTTATGAACACTGCTGTCCATTCTGATGCATGCCCCATCCCTTATGAACACTGCTGTCCATTCTGTGACGTGTGCTCCACCCCTTGTGAACACTGCTGTCCATTCTGTGACGTGTGCCCCACCCCTTATGAACACTGCTGTCCATTCTGTGACGTATGCCCCATCCCTTATGAACACTGCTGTCCATTCTGTGACATGTGCCCCATCCCTAACGAAGGCTG